AAAATGGAGGACAACCACACAATACTGGGAATCATGGCCCAGCCAAACTGATACACACATTTTCTGGGGGACATAATTCAATCCATGACAGTGGTTAAGAGCTCGGCTGCTAACCAAAAGGTCAGCAGTTCAAATTCACCAGCCACTCCTTGGAAACCCTATGCGGCAGTTCTACTCTGTCTTACAGCGTCACTATGAGTCAGAACCGACGCGACAGCACCTAACAACAACACACACACACAACACACATACGTATTTATATATATACGTGTACATATGCTATCTAGGCCTTGAAACAAACTCTCTTTGTCAGTTTGAGCACATTTCTTTATTTGTTATTAACATCTGGGATATGCCTGCTGATTTTAGAGTACCCAATCAAGCACAAATTGGATTAGAAAATGGCAGAAAAGCAGAAGAAAACACTAGACTTGAGTTCAAATCCTCGTCCTTCTCTTTAATGTTATGACCTTAAGGAATATAATTAACATTCCTCAGTCTTAACTTCATCATCTGTAAAACAGAAACCGAACTATTTGCCTCACAGAGCTGTTGTAAGAATTAAATGAGATACTGCATGTCTTAATACCTATTAGTGTGCCAGACTCACAATTGGTCAAATTCATAAGTAACGAATTTGAATCTATTCATTATAAAAGATATGGTTTACATTTCTGGGCTCACAGTTTAAAAAGAAATAAAAACTCTGGAGGGTAGAGGCATAGATACAATGAAAAGGTTGAAGCTGTACAGGAACCAGTATCGCCTAACCTAGAGAAAGAAAAACATCACAGCTGTTTAATTTGTCCTCTTCTAAGATAACTGAATAAGTAAAATAGGGTTCCATGAAGGACCAAAAATTGTGGTGAAATAAGAACATCAAGTGTACATTATTAAAAATTAGAAATCAGCACAGATATTATGAAATATGTGAATAAATAGCTTTTACAACAGGTAGACTATATCAGTATGTAATGGTGATCTTACCTGAAGACTAAGCAATCTCTCAAATCTGTTCTAGATTGATAATTCCATGGGGATGCAGAAGAAGGTGCAGTCAGGAATCAACCCGACAGCAACGAGTTTGGTTTTGGTTCTACTAAGATTCCATAGCAGCCCTGGTGGCACAACTGTTTAGCGCTCAACTGCTAATGGAAAGGTTACCGGTTTGAATGCACCCAGGGGCTCTGCGGAAGAAAGACCTGGCAGTCTGCTCCTGTAAAGATTACAGCCTAGAAAACCCTACGGTGCAGTTCTGCCCTTGTCACACGGGGTCACAATGAGTCGAAATCAACTCAACAGCACCTAACAACAACAAAGATTCCATACAGCTTAAGAAAGCCACTTCAGAAATTCCTGTTTCAGTTTCCTCATCTGCACAATTAGAATTGATTGTGAGTCTCTCTGAGTTATAAAAACTGGTAATTCTGGTTTAATATGGTTTATGGCTGACATACATTGCAAGGATATAGAGAGAAGGCCGTAGGAACACATCAACGATGACAAGGTTATTTACAGTGAAGCAGAGAAGAGGTGCCTACTATAAATAGACAGTAAATTACCACTGTGATGTAATACATAGTACATCAAGTAGTCTAAATTTTTTTCAGCAGTTTCACAAGCTGTTTACAAGCAGGAAATAGCCTAACTATCTAGGTCACTAATACATGGGATGGAAGTACAATTAAGTAACAATTATACATTCTAATGTATGGTACCCAAAATACTCTCCTTGCCTTTTGAAGGTCATTTTTAAAAACAGCACACGCATCTTCGACATTATGATTTGCTTATGAGAATAAAAATATGTGCACTCTTAGAGCAAATGGAAATTAACGGTGAAAAGGGGAAATGCTAAAGTGTGGTAGGTTGTAGAGGGATTAATTATAATTTATTCCTGATATACCAGCCAAGTTCTCTAGATAAAGAATGTATGGTTTATATTCATCTACTCATGATAGTATATCATAAAATCACTTGATATTATCTCTTAAAAACTAACTCACCAAATAGAAACATTTTTTGAAATACTACCAGACACTCAGTGATTGAAACCTGCCTACTTCCTGAAAAGAACTGAGATGACCTACAGTCAAACATGTATAAACAGTATGTGGCTTTGGCCGTCTTAGAAAGGGAATCGAATTTATCTGATTTATATATGAGGTAAATTCAAATTCCAATCCCATATTCTGACACCTCACTTAATACTAAAAGGTTTTCCTTAAAAAGTCATCAGAACTAAAAACTTTAAGTATTTCCCATTTAAGTCTTAGATTTTTCCAGATTACTTAATTTTTAACTTCTGGTACATGAATACTACTTTTTGAGAAAAAAATATTAATGCCCTTCTTCACCCTCTCCCCAAACAAAAGAAAACTAAAAGCTTTGTACAGAAGAAAACTTTCCTCCAAAACACGTGTTTTACAATGACGAATTCAGTAACACGTAGCAGACCAATGAACGTGGAATAAACAACAGAACTATAGGAAGTGCTTACATGATGGAGGAAATAATCAATGCTACGAATAACACATTTTCAACCTCATTAAAGGCAAATCATGATAATTACCCTCCAAAAAGTTCTAACAGAAATCAAGGGTGGAAAGGAGGAGTGTGCTGTCACAGTACAGGGAGAGCAATTAGGGTCACATAACAATGTATGTATAAATTTTTGTATAAGAGACTAACTTGAAATGTAAACTTTCACTTAAACTACAATAAACAAAAAATAAATAAAAGAAAAACACTATTTTAAATTTACCTATCAAGAAAAAAAAGTTCTAATAGCTAAGAGTCAAGAAGTTCTAAGCTTCAAAAACATACACATATTCTTTTGTTACACCACAGAGGTAGTTATTGTCTTGATCAGAAAAAGTGAACACCTCCAGGCAAAGATAACTTAGTCTACTCTTTTTTAATATTATGTAACTAATAGCTGACTCATTAAATCTTATGATTAATGATACCTATTTTTCACTCTTACAATTTAGATATTCACTTAATTTTTAAAATTAAATACCTATCCAAACTAAGTGTACTAAACTGATTCTTTTAACTATGAGTACATATAGAAATGTCAATACAACTGCGAAGAATAAAATGAAACATTTGTGTTACTGCCGTCACTGTTACTCACTCACAAGTATCCAAAGCCTTAGGAACTTTCTAGAAACGCAAAGAGAAAATAGGCAAGTTGCAATGTTAAACTGTGCATTCCACATATTATTGTATGAACACATTTATTTCTTTTTTTTAGAAGTATAACATTTACATTCTTACAACAGACATTCATAGTCCGATTACATTTCAATATTGTGTAAGCATCATTCTATGGATTACAATCCATTAGCCAATGTGAGAAATATATTATAGAAAGGAATTTATTATTCAAAATCATTATTATTAAATTTCTGTGAACTGGAGAATACACCCAGAAAATTACCTGACAAGCAATCTGTACGAGGTAGACCAGCTCTTTAGACTCACAGCCATTTCTTGTTACTTCATTCTGTTCCTCTGAAAGTGAGAGCTATATCATAGAAGAAGGAGAGAAAATCATGGTTAAAGAACAAGAATAAACTAAGTATTAAACAATAACTGAAACAGACCCTCATATCAACTTAATACAAGATATGTCTTATATTAGAACTCTATTGCTCAAGGTATATAAGAGAAGAATTCACGATCTCAGAAAACTACATTCCTAAGAATTGTCTCTGTAACCTGTACCTAACTTGGTACAAATACACAGCACCAATAAATAAAACACATTTATTCAAGAGAAAGTGTTCGACTCTTTAATTTACGTATGTGAAAGGAGGCACTAACCAGGCACTGAGAGACAGCACAATACAGTGGTCTAACAGCTCAGACTCTTACAGACTCATTACAGAGATCGCAGACCGGCTGCACAGAGGCCATGTTTATCATGCAGACATGTTTTATATCAGACTCATCTTGTGGGTCTGCACAATGGATTTTATGATTTTACTTTTATTTGAGCCAACAATCAAAATTTAGAAGTTTTCTGGCTTCTATTAAAAAATTTCAAAATCTGGAATATTGGGCCCAATTCTCACATGGGCAACAACTGACTGGAGCTGAGAAATGACTGTCACTTTTCAATGAGACCTGCACTCTCTAAAAGACTGCAACAGACAGTCCCCAATCCCTTTATTCTTTCCGCCAGCATCGAGGCTGAGTGTTGACTGTTATTCATCATGCTAATTGCTTTATTTTTCTTATACTGTACTTGCTTCACTCATTTATACTACAAACAGGTACTACAGACAGGCAAGCTTAAGTTCAAAAGTGTCATCAACTGGCTATGCAAACTTCAGCTACACACTTAATCTGTTATGAGGAACCGGGTTGACGATAATGATAATAAAAATACTTATTCTCAGGTTGGTAAGTATTAAAAGAGATAATGTATGTAAAGTGTTCTCCAAGGTACCTGGCATTCAGTAAGTACTTAATAAATGTTATCTACTATTATACTTAACATTATAAGAAACACAAGGCTGATGAAGACATATTCTCTATTTATGAATGCAATATCACTAGAAATATTTCTTAAAACTTTCTGATAGGAGGCGAGGCCAAGATGGCAGAGTAGTCAGATGCTTCCGGTGGTCCCTCTTAGAACAAAGACCCAAAAAAACAAGTGAATCAATTATATATGACAATCTAGGAGCCCTTAAAATCAAAGCCAAAGTTGAGGAACTGGACTGAGCGACAGGGGAAGGGAGAGACAGTTCAGAAGCAGTGAGGAGTTGCTAGTACCCAGTGGCAAAGGGCACCCTGCACGCAGGATCCACTGGTCCAAGTGGTGAGGCAAGCAGTGGTGCCTGGGACGCGTTTTCCACATCGGCAGAGAGCAAGCAGGAGAGTCAGCTCAAACCTCCAGAACCAGCAAGAAACGGCGCTTGATCAGCAAAAGGTAAGTACAAGTGTCTAACCTACTGTGTGGATCCCAAAAAAAAAAACTTCCCTTTTGGGAAATACCTCTCTCATTTACCTGCTCCCTCCCCGCTCTGCTCCAGTCCTGGTGTGGCTTCAGAGATTGCTGCGCTCCCTGGGCACACAGCCTGAGCCATTCTCTCGGCCTTGGAGAGGGAACAAAATAAAAAACAAAAAAAAAATAATCTGCCAGCTCCCATGAGCCAAAAAACTCAGGGCAGGCACAGTTCCTTTACCTAGGCACAAGCATAAGGGATCCATGGACTTTGAATGCCTTTAACCCCTGCATAGACCTGTGTGGACCCATTTCAACAGCGCAGGCCCTCATTAGCACAGTATATACCAGGGTTAATACCTGAAGTCTATTTTCATCTATATCTGCTATAAGGCGAGTGGTAGATTCATGACATTTGACACCGTCCTGCCCATTAAGCAGCGTCCTCACCTACACACATCAAGGGCCTAAGGACTGATGGCTCCACCTACTCCACTGAGCCAAGTGTGACAGGGGTCCAAGAATAAGTGGGGACTCCCAGTCCTTACAGCCAACAGCACTGGGTGCCCATAGTCTGGCTGCAAAATCCACCCACCTACATGCTCTGGGGAACAGAGACACGCCTTCCACCCAGACACTCAGAGGCAGCAGTCAGCCCCCTGTATTGATCAACGCATGACCCCCTACTGCAGCCAGATACCTGTGCCTACTCCAATTACACCTGCCTGTCTAGGACTGTAGGAGAGAGCCTGCACCACACACTTGGTAACTGACAACCTCGACAACTGAGCTGAACCCACACAAGAAAAGTAAATGGACTACTGGGCTCACATACCTAGTAACAGCTCTAGCCACCTAGAGACAGGACGTGAGAGCTTCAAAGACGCCAATAATCAAGCTAGCTCACAGACCAGCCTATATGACCATATCAAAACAAAACAAAACAAGAAGCTAGGACACAGTAAGAAAACATAGAATAACTATAATAACTTACTGATGGCTCAGAGGCAACAGTCAATATCAAATCACGTAAGAGGCAGACTATGAAGGCTTCACCAAGCCACCAAAACAATGAAGTAAAAAACCTTCTGGAGGAAAGAACTTACTGGAATTACCAGAGGTAGAATTCAAAAGATTAATATGCAAAACTCTTCAAGAAATCAGCAAGGAGATCAGGCAAAACATAGCACAAGCCAAGGAACACAAGGAAAAGAAATACAGGAAATTAAGAAGGTTATTCAAGAGCATAATGACAAATTTAACAGGCTGCAAGAATCCATACAGAGACAGTAAATAGAAATATAAAATTTTAACAATAAAATTTCAGAATTAGACAACTCAACAGGAAGTAGTAGGAACAGAATTGAGGCAATGGAAGTCAGAATTAGTGAGACTGAAGATAAAGCACTTGACACCAAATTATTTGCAGAAAAATCAGGTAAAGCCATTTAAAAAAGGAAGAAACGCTAAGAATTATGTGGGACTGTAGCTAGAGGAATAACCTATGAGTGATTATAGAGTACCAGAAAAGGAGGGGGGAATCAGAATACAGACAAAATTGTTGAAGATTTTTTTGGCATAAAACTTCCCTGATATTGTGAAAGATGAGAAGGATGGTATCTATCCTAGAAGCTCATCAAAACTTACACAAGGCAGATCCCGAAAGAAAGTCACCAAGACCTATTATAATCAAACTTGCCAAAATCAAAGATAAAGAGAGAATTTTAAGAGCTGCTAGGGAGAAATGAAAAGTCATCTACAAAGGAGAGTCAGTAAGACTAAGCTCGGACTACTCAGCAGAAACCATGCTGGCAAGAAGGCAATGGGATGACATATACAAAGCCTTGAATGACAAAAATTACCAGCCAAGAATTATATACCCAGCAAAACTGTATCTCAAATATGGCGAAAATAGGGCATTTCCAGATAAATATAAGTTTAGGGAATTTGTAAAAACCAAACCAAAATTACAAGAAATACTAAAAGGAGTCCTCCAGTTAGAAAATCAGTAACATCAGATAACAACCCAAGACTAGAACACAGAGGACAGAGCAATCAGATTATCAACCCAGATAGGGAAGTCACAAAACGAAATCAAAGCGGAAAAACAGAAAATAGGGAAACAAAGACATCAATAGGTAAAACATGATAACATTAAAACAAAACAGAGTGACTAAAAAAAGTCAAAAACGTTTCATATGAAGAGGAAGTCAAGGCGATGTAAAGAAATAAAAGGCTGGTTTAAATTTAGAAAAACAGGAGTAAATATTAAGTTAACTACAGAAGAAACTAACAATCCTACACATCCAAAAACAAAAAAAAGAAAAACACAAACACTCACCAAATACGAAATGAACAGGGAAAAGACAAAAAGAAAATATATAAAGAAAAACAACTCAGCACAGAAAATAAAGTAGAAGAAAGAAAACTGTCAACAACACATAAAAAATACATCAAAACGGCAGCACTAAACTCATACCTATCAATAATTTCGTTGAATGTAAATGGACAAAATGCACCAATAAAGAGACAGAGAGTGGCAGAATGGTTTAAAAAACATGATCTGTCTATATGCTGCCTACAAGAGACACACCTTAGACTTAAAGACACAAACAAACTAAAACTCAAAGGCTGGGGAAAAGAAAATAAAGCAAACAACAATCAAAAAAGAGCAAGAGTGGCAATATTAATCTCTGACAAAATTAACTTTAAAGTAAAATCCACCAAAAAAAGAATAAAGAAGGACACTATGTAATGATTAACGGGTCAATACACCAGGAGGACATGACCATAATAAATATTTACGCACCCAACATCAGAGCTCCTAAATACATAAAACAAACTCTAACAGCATTGAAAAGAGAAATAGACAGCTCCACAATAATGGTAGACTTCAACACACCACTTTCAGTGAAAGGCAGAACATCCAGAAAGAAGCTCACTAAAGACACAGAAGATCTAAACGTGACAATCAAACAACTTGATCTCACAGACATATACAGAATACTCCAACCAACAGCGGCCAACTATACTTTCTTTTCCAATGCACATGGAATATTCTCCAGAATAGACCACATATTAGGCCACAAAGCAAGCCTTAACAGAATTCAAAACGCTGAAATATTACAAAGCATCTTTTCTGACCATAATGCAATAAAAATAAAAATCAATAACTGGAAAAGCAAGGGAAAAAAAATCAAACAAATGGAAACTAAACAACACCTTGCTCAAACATCACTGGGTGACAGGAGAAATTAAGGATGGAATAAAGAAATTCACAGAATCCAACGAGAATGAAAACACATCCTACCAGAAACTTTGGGACACAGCAAAAGCAGTGCTCAGAGGTCAATTTATAGCAATAAATGCACGCATCCAAAAAGAAGAAAGGGCCAAAATCAAAATATTAACCCTACAACTCAAAAAAATAGAAAGAGAGCAGCAAAAGAAGCCCTCCGGTACCAGAAGAAAGGAAATAATAAAAATTAGAGCAGAATGAAATGAAATCGAGAATAGAAAAACACTTCTGAAATCGAGAATAGAAAAACACTTCAAAGAGTTAACAAGACCAA